CGTACATTGCATCACGCATATCATTACTTCAATTGCTCATATCCAAGAAACCAAACATATGTTCATCTCGAAAATTTTGTAATCGCCATACTCTCATCGTAAATAATCACTTAGTGCTTAATTTAATACAAAATTCGTAGGCGAGAAAATGGGTGATTTTTGCGGTCACAATTAGCTATAAATATTGATTTCAATTACGTTCAGTGCACTTTAGCAGACTGCTTCGACTTGATGATCGTTAGTGTGGCTTAAATATAAATAATGATTATGTTCAGTCGTTAATAGAACTAATAGTTTGTTAGAAATCAATTTTGAATCAGTAGCACTCTCATGCTCTAAGAATATCAAGTTAATTTAATGGGAAGTTGTAAGAATTTTAAAGTTTTACCTCATGTTATAGCTATTTCAGACGCTGTTTTAAACATACGGATTTTTATTTTACAGATTTTCATTGTAGGCTTATTTTCTCATGAAGAACGCGTACAATTTAGTCAATTTTTTTTTATTATTTGCATACAATAAACAGGAAATAAACTTTTGGAATATAATAGGGAAATACCACTTTCCTTATCAATATTAAATACACTTTCCGGCAGGCATTACTTTGATAAATAAAATACAAACTTGCATACTTTTCATAAATTAGACCATAATTATGTGATTTCAAATGTAAGGTTAATCATACCGAATGAATCGTTCGTTTAAAAAGGCTGTTTTGTTTTTATTATGAATATTGCATAAAAGTAAACTAAAAAGTCGAAAGTTAGCATTGTTTCAACTACGTAAATGGGAATTCCTTAAACTTAATTGCATTATTTAACTGTGTTACCTATGTTGAAGGTGAATTCTAAGCACTCTCACACTTATTGACTGGCACACTTCCTAGACAATAGAAGTCAAAATTAGCTTATTACGCTATAAATATTTAAATTTTCTTTTTTTTTCTAAACTGAAGCATTCTCGACACAAAATCAATATCAATAAACTAATAAACCCATTAATATACTGTAATATACAATTACACATACTTTTAATACTACATTATCATACTACTATCAAAATATCAGGTAATAAACCTGTAAATATTTTGGCTAGGAGTTGTGATTCAAATAATTTTCCGTCATTTTCGCGAATCAGAGGTTAGCGACTTTAGAAAGAATTTCAAATTTATCTTTTTTTATAGAAATATCTAAGCGCGGTATAGGTCATATACTGTGAATCTAAATACGCCAAAAATACCCACAGATTGCATTCTTTCATTGCAACACCTACAAAATGGACTCATAATTGAAGGTGAGCTGCCTTTAATTGTAAAGTCGTAAAGATCCAAGAAAAAGAGAAGGAATGCTGTTGGCATACGAGTTGTTTATGAATGCCGCAAGATGCAGCCGCAATTATATTTCGCCTTTTTTTACTATTACGCAAATTAATCTCTTATATGTGCGGCCTGTAGTGAAGTGTTGCTAAATGTCATTGCAAATGAGATCTTAACGACAGGTGTGTGGCAAGGAGTCTATTAAAAATAACAAACTACGACGATCAATGCAGGTGTAGGTAAAGAAGCGTTTAAAGGACCCAAAAATCGTACACCAAGTCTGAAACTTCTCCGAGACCGTACAGCGAACACACTGAAAAATATACCTACAGTGCTGCACTTACGAAAACTCACTACAGTGTGGTACTGAATTAAGCTAAATAAAATACTTCTTATTTTAATTGTAAAAGGGAAAATTTCTTACAGCTATGGGTGAAAGGAGCAAATAATTAGTGAACAATGAGAGCTTCTGATTGCGATGACTGACGATAGTGTAAGACTGGGTATACAAAAGCAAAACGAGTGCCTACATAATAAAAATATTTAATAGATCAACAAGGAAAAACGCCACTGACTAGCCAGTTACATTTGGTAACATGATGAAAAAATAGTTCCATTCAATATCATCAACGAGTATTTATTAATCAATAAAATTATTTCAAATATTAACAAGAAAGGAAGACATTTACTAATTGTTTACATTTGGAAAAGAAACGAGTATTTGGTACTTATTAAGGACTCGGAATGATATAGGACTGAAGTTAAATAAAGAAACAATATGTTTACTAACTTCATATGGTTACTTTTAGGAATATGGGTCGAGCACAATACCAATGCAAGGTGAGTGCCAGTGTTCGCAAAAATTCGTGATAGTGTAAGACTAGATTTATTTTCCATTTTATGTAATAGCAAGAAGATGAGACCTCAATTAACTATTTAAAAAATTACAATATAACTAACATTTCCTTGGAACTCAGAAACGTTTAAATGTCAAAGCCTAGAATATTAATAATTTTATTCCATACATCCACGTATTCGTATAGATATTATTCGACCAGGTGTAATTAAAAATCAATTATATGTAGTTAATAAATAAAGCTTGATATTTTAATGTGTTTATATTACGATAATTTATGTACTCTTTTCTTCTCTGACACAAGAAGATACTACAAGTGACTTGTAAAAGTTTCTATTCGATATATGCAGGAAACGTTAATAGCGCGTGATGTCGAAATTACAACAAAAATAAAACTAAAAATCTGACTGCTTTGAAGATGGACACACCCACATTTGTATATACAATTCACCTACAAGCTTTTCGAGGAATTCTTGAACAAGAATAATGGCTTTAAATTGGGAACACAATCTTTTTGAACATTTTATACGAAAGCTTCCATCAGTGGCGCACGCACAGAGAGGGACTATGAAAACTCAAGCGGACTCCCCTTCTTCTTCAGAATACGTTCAAATAAACAGAACTTTGAAAAGCGTATAAATCGCATTTTAGTTGGTTGGAATTTATATTATTTCATAACAGCGTAATATATTTTAACGCCTTAAAATATATATAAATCTTTTACACGATTTTCTTTACATTTGCGAGCGCATGAACTAAATTTATGTTAATTTTCAAGAAAGTAATTTAAACTATTAATTTATTTTGCAGTGCACATAGTGAAAGCACTTCATAGGTATTCTAAAAACCACAAGAACTCGAAAAATGGTAAAAAAATCGTAAAAAAATACTTATTTTTATGCTATTTCTCAGTATTACGAGAACTATTACAGGGGTACCATCTAGATAACACCAGCAGTGAAAGCTTTTTAGCCTTGATGCGATTCGGGCTGTTTTGCAATGGTCTATGGAGTTATGATGTTCCAGACGTTTCGCTGTTCTTCGCTGAAGACATCTTCAGTAGTGACTGAGCGGTTGCAGAGTCGTGACTGATCATAAAAGCTGCAGTAAGCTTTAGCCTATTCATATTCCCGAGCGTCACAAAAATGAATGACTCAAATCACAAAGAATGTATTATGGTACAATTTTTTTGGTGAAATGGGGCTAAAAACCTTCTGAAATCCTCCAGGAATAGGAAAATGTGTATGGGGACGAGTGCTTGTCTAAAACTAAAAGCAAGAATATCTAAGTCCAAGATCAAAGGGATCGTTCTTTTCGATATTCAGGGCATTATCCACACTTGCAGAGAAATGCTGGATTCTTCATGATTGTCCTTGATTGTTCACGAGTATTTGATCAAAAAAAAGTAGATGATCGCATTCCCTCTACACAAAAATAAAAGATCCCACCTCAAGGATACTCATCATGATGGCGTAAAAAAGGTCAAAGCAACTGTAAGGGCGGTTCTGAATTCCTTAACTTTAAATAACTACAAAAAGTGTTTCTAGGGATGTCGACTACTGTGAATGTCACACCTCGTATATGCCCTCCTGACTTCCATGCGCTGCGTTCATTAGCATACTTATGTATGAATATACAAGCCGTCCAACATTGTAAAAGCTTCACCATTCGGGAATTGCTGAATAAGATGCAATAAGTTTTATGAATTAAACTGCGTATATGTATAGCTACGCTTAAATGTTTTCGTGAAAATGTTGTTTATATACATAGAGTGAAAAATGTTAGAAATCGTCGGGTAGTGCATGTTCTTCTTCGCCAAAAAATTGAACTACTTACTCAACATAACCAAGTATGTTGTATCTAATGATCCATTCATGCGAGGCGAACGAAAAGCCAAACAAACGTTCATTTTAAATTATTGCGATTCGAGTCTGCTTAATGTTTCGAGAAAGTGTAATTTTTAATAAAAGGGAAGTTAATATTTACACACGGCGTATGTGTTCTTTCCGCAACTTTCCTATTTTTAGCTGCCAACTATAAAATTGGGAATGTAGTATGTAGGTACTCCTCACCTATTTAGAATCAGAGTTCATATTTTAAGCTAGCCTCGCCTACGCGATGTGATGTAAACACCACGAGCCAACCTTTGTCTCGAAACAGAACCGGATCAAGTTTGTTAACACAAAATTTCCTAAAAAAAAAAAAGAATCAACACTCCAGCGTCTCTCCTTTCTTTCAAAAGTGCTCAGACAAATTGAAACAAAGATCTAATATTACTATTAAATTTTTTCTTTTTTATAAATTACTGTAACGACGGACTACGGACTAATCATTTTCTGCTATGATCAATTTATATAATTCAGAAGTTGTTGGTCGATACGACAATCCTTACGGAAAGGTAGGTAGGTAGGTAGGTAGAGGTAGCACCTAATACATAAGGCCGCAACAGAATATCTATCTAATAAATCCATCTATGAAATGTGCAACAACTTTTATTGAAATGTTTGGCTGCATTTAATATGTGAGATGCAATGTTTAAATTAAGGGAATGCAATTTTGGCTTCTGGACAAAACATATGACTCACGCCGGGCGTTTCCGTTTTGAGAGTGTTGGCGTAAAGTTATTAAATTTTCAGTATCATCAATTACACGTAATTTAAAAGGAAGCTTTAAGTTTTACGAGCGTTTAAAAACCGTTTAAGTTGAGCCCCCTTAATAAGGAAATTCCAAAAAAAAAAATAAGAGAACACAGAAAGGGTTTCATTATTCCATTTGCAAAAACTCATATTAACTCTGCAAAATGTTTTAGATACTGGGAAATTATTATTATTATT